GAGAGAGAGAGAGAGCGAGAGGTAGAGAGAGAGAGAGAGAGAGAGAGAGAGAGAGAGAGAGAGAGCGAGAGGTAGAGAGAGAGAGAGAGAGAGAGAGAGAGAGAGAGAGAGAGAGAGAGAGAGAGAGAGAGAGAGTGTGTAATATAAGAAGAAGAGACAGAGAGAGAGATAGACTTAGTAATATAAGGTACATTGTGATGCTACTAAGGCAGAATCCAGTTAGTGTATTGATCTCTTCAGGAAAATAGAGGCAGATTTTAAACACTAAATATTTCATCCAACAGAGATGCATTTAGTATCTTTGTACTTCAGGAGAATCACAATGGAATTCCGCGTTCCCGTGTTTCTGTACTGTCAGCCGTCTCTATTGTGGTTTAAAAGTTATCAATAAAACAAAATATATATATATCCCTGACTGACAGGTCGCACAAGATGAGTCTGCATATGTAATGAGGATGCTGAGGGTATGACATTAATTATGCATAATCACGTCTCTGATGCTGAGTTATAATTAGTGAAAATAATATATTCATCTTCTGTATCTGTCGGCATATTTGATTAGGGATAAATACACGTATATGCCAGTGATGAGCCCCTTGGACTTTTTTGTAAATAGATTTGCAAATACGAAAGTTTTTAATGGTATTTATTTTATTTTCGTGTTATTAGTTATTGTCTTTTTTTGAAATTAATGTGTATAGTTTACCTCTGTTGTCATATCGATAACTATTAATGAACAAAACAATATTTAGGTATATAAACATTTAAGTCAAGAATTGTACCGGAGAAAAGGTGCAAATTACGTATATAAACGTTTAAGTCAAAAAATCTATAAGAAAAATAAAGAGCATTGTCCGTACATACTGCAGTTTAGTGTTAGTAATTACTTTATTAAGGAATCGATTATTATGATATGAAATGTGATCCATACAATTTTTTTCAAATGTTGATACAAATTCATATAGTTTGTTGGTAATGCAGACTTCTTGGTAGATATGACTTTTAAATTAGCGACATAAACCATTAGTCTCACCATACGTGTATATACTGTATTGGTTTATGTTGATATAAATGAATATTGCAATTTAACGATCGTCTTGTGGTATATAGGCCTTTCCTGAAACTTTTTTTTTTTTATTTACGAAAGTTAATATGAATGGAATGAAACTCATAACTGTTCTTACGCATTACAAAAAAACAAAACAAAAAAAAAACTTCTTTTATCTATAAGAAGGATTAATATAGATACTAAAAAAAAAGCCTTGAAACTATAATCATCGATGCAACTTAAGAAGTGAAACAGTTATAGTACTGATAAGGAGTTTAGTTTTAGTCCAAACGTCACTTTTTTTGCGTTTCTCTTCTTGCTGCGGCCGTGTTTCAGTTCGTATTTGTTCTTTTGTTCATCGAATTACATTACTTTGAATTTTATTAGTCGCATTACCGTTGATTATGCTATATTCTGAATTGTATTTCTCCCATAATCATTAATTGCATAATTCTCTAAATTATTCTGCTTGGATCATCGTTGATAATATCAAATTCTAAATTACACTTCCTGTGTTGCCGTTGATTAAATCATACTCTTCAATTCTGCTAATAGCACTTACATTGCCGTTAATTACATCGTGCACTAGATTAAACTTCTTGCATTGCCGTCGGTTTGATTAGTTCCAAATTCCACTACTTATATCACCGTAAATCATATTTCTGTAAAATGTCCATGACCAATTCATGTGTCTCATCTGCATTAACCAGTTTTATCCCCCCCCCCACCCCCCCACCCCCCGTGCCTTAATAACTAGCTCTCCTACCCAGTGCCTTAATAACTTATCTTCTTACTCAGTGTATTAATAACTAAGTTTATTTTCCCAGTACAGAGCGTCTTGAATCCAAACTTCCTTCCCAGTATACTGATAACTACCCCCCCCCCCTCTTCCCAGTGCACTAATGATGAGTTTATTTTCCTGGTGCAATGTCTTAATAACAAATCCACCTTAACGATGCATTCATTGTTCAAGTGCATTAATAAGTTTATTTTCCCTATGTACAATGTCTTAATAAATTCTCCTTCACAATGCATTAATAACTAACCTTATTTTCCCTGGGCATTCATAACCAACTTTATTTCCCAGTTCATTAACAACCAACTTTATTTTCCCAAAGCATTAGAAAACAACTCTATTCCCCAAGTGCATTAAAGACCAACTTCATCTTCCCAAAGTATTAAAAAACAACTCCATTCCCCAAGTGCATTAAAAGCCAACTCTATTTCCCAAAGCATTAAAGAACAGTTTTAAAGACCAACTACATTTTCCCCAAGCATTAATAACCGCCCTTTCTCCACAGTGCGTTACGTGTTCTCCCTGGTGAGCAACGGCATCAACTGCGACGTGATCCACGGGCCTCTGTACTCCTGCCTCCGCGCCCTCTTCGGCCTCTCCGTTATAGGGATCCTCGTGTCCATCTTCTCCTGTATGCTCGTCTACCAGCTGTTGAGGTGAGATCCAGGGGGCGTCCTTAAAGGGAAGTCCTTAGGGAGAGTCTTTGGGATTAGGAAGTGTCCTTAGGGAGAGTCCTTGGGATTAGGAAGTGTCCTTAGGGAGAGTCCTTAAGGAGAGTCCTTGGGGAAAGTCCTTGGGTGGAAGATCTTGGGATTGGGAAGTGTCCTTGGGGAAAGTCCTTAGGGGAAGTCCTTAGGGAGAGTCCTTAGGGGGAAGTCCTTAGGGAGAGTCCTTGGAAAGTGTCCTTAGGGAGAGTTCTTGGAAAGTGTCCTTGGGGAAAGTCCTTGGGGGAAGGCCTTGGAGGAAGACCTTGGGGTTGCTCCTTCTGCTGTAGGATGGGCGGGGGGTTGGGGGTCGTGTAGCGGGCGTGTGAGTGCTCGAGTTTGGTATGTGTGTGTGTGTTCGGAGTGGGTGGGTGGGTAGTGGTGTGTGTGTGTGTGTGTGTGTGTGTGTGTGTGTGTGTGAGAGAGAGAGAGAGAGAGAGAGAGAGAGAGAGAGAGAGAGAGAGAGAGAGAGAGACAGACAGACAGACAGACAGATAGACAGAAAGAAAGAAAGAAACAGAGAGAAAGATAGTGACAGGCAGACAGACACACACACAAACAAAGACAAACACAGCGAGAGAAAAGAAAGACGAAAAAGAAAAACAGAGAAGGAGGTTTCCAGGTCCGTGTTTTCTTTTCAGAGGCCAAATCCCGTTTCTCCCCCTCCCATCTCCCTCCCTCCCTCCCTCCCTCCCTCCCTCCCTCCCTCCTTCCCTCCTTCCCTCCTTCCCTCCCTCCCTCCTTCCCTCCCTCCCTCCCTCCCTCCCTCCCTCCCTCCCTCCGTCCCTCCTTTCCTCCTTCCCTCCCTCCCTCCCTCCCCTCCCCTCCCTCCTCTCCTTCCCTCTCTCCTCCCCTCTCTCCCTCCCTTCGTCCCTCCCTCCCTCTCTCCTTCCCTCTTCCCTCCCTCCCCTCCCCTCCCCTCCCTCCTCCCCTTCGTCACTCCCTCCCCTCCCCTCCCTCCTCTCCTTCCCTCTCTCCTCCCCTCTCTCCTCTCCTTCCCTCCCTCCCTCCCTCCCTCCCCTCTTTCTTCTCCCCTCTCTCGAAAATATTCATGGCCTGTGTGTTCTTACTAGTGTTCTAAGGAAATGAAAGAGTGAGGGGGGAGGGGGGGGAGGAGGAAGGGTGACAGCCTTGTATTCAGGGTGCCGGAGAGAGACAGAGACAGAGACACACGCAGACAGACAGACACAGGCAGGCAGGAAGGCGGGCAAACAGATGGGCTAAGAAGAGAGAGAAAGGGAGGGACGGAGAGAGAGAGATAGAGAGAGAGAGAGAGAGAGGGAGAAAGAGAGAAAGAGAGAAAGAGAGAGAGAGAGAGAGAGAGAAACAGAGAGAGAGAGACAGACAGACAAACAGACACAGACAGACAGATTAGGTATCATCTCCTATAAAACAAAACAAAAAAATATATATACACCCAAAAGAACGAAAACACACACATAGAAAAACAAAAAGAAAAACAAAAAGAGACAATAATTAGAAGAAAAACAAATGAATAAATCACAAGGTATTCGGGACAAGCAGTCATATTAAGACAAATGCCTCAAGGGGTTGTTGTTAATACAGTAGGTTTTATGTACACGGGTTGATAAAAGGGGCAGAGTGGGCGGGGCAAGATGGGCGGGGTTAAGGAGCTGGGGGGAGGAGGGGGGAGAGGGGGGGAGGGGAGGGGCAAGTAAAGCTAAAGACCCTTAGAAAAAGTAGATCAAACAAAGAGGGAGGGAGGGAGGGGAGGGAGAGAGGGAGGGAGGGAGGGAGAGAGGGAGGGAGAGAGGGAGGGAGGGAGGGAGAGAGGGAGGGAGGGAGGGAGAGAGGGAGGGAGGGAGGGAGAGAGGGAGGGAGGGAGGGAGAGAGGGAGGGAGGGAGGGAGAGAGGGAGGGAGGGAGGGAGAGAGGGAGGGAGGGAGGGAGAGAGGGAGGGAGGGAGAGAGGGAGAGAGGGAGGGAGAGAGGGAGAGAGAGAGAGAGAGAGAGAGAGAGAGAGAGAGAGAGAGAGAGAGAAAGAGAGAGAGAGAGATCGGAAGAGAGAGAGAGAGAGAGAGAGATCGGGAAACAGAGAAAGAAAGAGAAAGAGGGGGGAGGGGGAGGGATGGAAAGGGAGAGTATGAGAAAGAGAGAAAAGGAGGAGGAAGGGTGTGTTTGTTGTCATTATTAGCTGTGTTTGCCGACGAAGCACAGTGTCGGCGCCTGTGTTTGTTCTCTTGTTGCTGGCTTGTTTGCTGTATCATTTGTGCATAACAGGTGTACGAACTGGATGATGATGAGGAGGAGGTGGAGGAAGAGGAGGAGGAAAAGGAGGCGGGTTACCCTTTTAACAGCATTTTTTCTTTTCAGTTATTGTTGTTGTTGTTATCGTTGTTATTTTTTATTGTCATTGTGATTATTGTTATTGTTGTTTTTTGTTGTTGCTGTTGTTATGATTGTTATTTTTTTTATTATAACTATCATCATCGTTATTATGACGATTTTTTTTCTAAATCATTTTCGTAATTATTTACCTTCAAAAAGCCAAAATATATCGAGAAAAAAAAACTATACAAAAAATTATTTCTTTTTCTTTTTCTTTTCTTTTTTAAACAATAATAATAATAATAATAATAATAATAATAATAATAATAATAATAATAATAATAATCGTCCTCTCACCATCTCCCTTTCCGTTAACGAGGCGAAAACCGCGTCACGTCCGCCATAAAAGCCACGTGACAAGCGACACAGCGGACAGGCGTGATGTGCAATTTCATCATTATCATCATACAAATGGAAGTGTGGAAACAAATGACACACGCCGCCGGTACTCTAGCGTGAGGTTATTATGTCCCTTTTGCCTGTGACATCTTTTTTTTTTTTTTTTTTTTTTTTTTTTTTTTTTTTTTTTGGGGGGGGGGGGTTGGTGCTGGGGGTTGCTGGGGGGGGGGGGGGGGGGGGGGGGGGGGTAGCAATTAATACAGTTTATAAAGGGGAATAATTATTTTCTAATGATTGCCTATTTTATCGCCACTTTTATCGTGCTGAGCAAAGAGATTGTCTGAATTGAAAAGATTTAAAACGTGGGAAGTCTGTATTTGCTTACTATAAGGGTTAACATTTTCCTTAGATATTCTATTATAGGCCCAAGTTATTATGTAACCTTATGTAATATTGATAATAATGATGATGATGATAATAATAATAATGATGATGATAATGATAATGATGATGATAACAATAATGATGATATTGATGATAATGTTAATAATGATAATAATTAATAATAATAATAATCGTCCTCTCACCATCTCCCTTTCCGTTAACGAGGCGAAAACCGCGTCACGTCCGCCATAAAAGCCACGTGACAAGCGACACAGCGGACAGGCGTGATGTGCAATTTCATCATTATCATCATACAAATGGAAGTGTGGAAACAAATGACACACGCCGCCGGTACTCTAGCGTGAGGTTATTATGTCCCTTTTGCCTGTGACATTTTTTTTTTTTTTTTTTTTTTTTTTTTTTTTTTATTCTCTCTCCAATTTTGCTAAATGTTTGATGTGTTTTTTTTTATTATTATATTTTAAATTAGGGTTTTATATATATATATATATATTTTTTTTTAATGAGATTCATTTTGAAATAGATCAGGTTTATTAAGGTTTTATATATATAGAATGATGTAGTTTTGAGTGCGATATATATAATGTTTTTACTAATGAGTATGTTATTACGATGTAATGATGGAGTGTCACATGAACCATAGTAGTTTATGGTGAGTCGCGTAACAAGGTATATATAATCTCGTAGTGAAATTTTGTGATAAAAAAAGTTGTTACACTCACCATCCCTTTTAAGAATTTTCTGGTTGGGGGGGGGGGGGAGGTAGCAATTAATACAGTTTATAAAGGGGAATAATTATTTTCTAATGATTGCCTATTTTATCGCCACTTTTATCGTGCTGAGCAAAGAGATTGTCTGAATTGAAAAGATTTAAAACGTGGGAAGTCTGTATTTGCTTACTATAAGGGTTAACATTTTCCTTAGATATTCTATTATAGGCCCAAGTTATTATGTAACCTTATGTAATATTGATAATAATGATGATGATGATAATAATAATAATAATAATAATAATAATAATGATAATAATAATAATAATAATAATGATAATAATAATAATGATAATAATAATAATAATGATGATGATAACAATAATGATGATAATGATGATAATACTAATAATAATGATAATAAGAATAGTAATGGTGATAATAATAATAATAGTATTAATAATAATAATAATAGTAATAATGATAGGGATAATAATACTACTACTACTACTACTAATAATAATAATAGTAATGATAACAATAAATACGTATTTTTTAAAAAACTTTAATACTTTAGGCAGAGAGCACGTCCTTTACATTGCTTAAGAGATTGCAAAGAAAAAGAAAGGGGAAAAAATATATATATATTGCAAATGTCGTTTGAGAAATAACCCCTAATTGTTAATTGGCAAATGCAATTAAAGTGTCCCGCCCAGAGTTTTTTTGTTTTTTTTTCAAACGAAGTTACAGTACTGAAAAGTCTTTGTATGCCGGTTTCATAAAAGCATTATTTTCCTACCGGGCTGTATTTTTTCCCCATTTCTATAGTAGACAATAGAGGAGAGAAAAGTGTACTGTATGTTATATATTGTAGATAACTGACTGAAGTTTTTTTGTTTTTTCATAGTCAGACAGACGAAGGTTATGAAAAAGCGTGCACGATAGTAGGGAGAGAGACAGACAAAAAATAGGAAACAAAACATAGAGAGGCAAAAATATAGAAAGAGGAAAGCGAGGGAGAGAGAGAGAGAGAGAGAGAGAGAGAGAGAGAGAGAGAGAGAGAGAGAGACAGAGAGACAGAGAGACAGAGAGAGACAGAGACAGAGAGAGAGAGAGAAGAAGAAAAGAAAAGAAAAAAAATAAAGAAATCA